TTTTTTTTTTTTTTTTTTTTCTTAAATTACATATTGAATATTATTGAATATTATTCTTAAGAAATTGACTAACTATGTCTGCTTATAAAGCGAAAAACCTCATAATTTAAAACAAATATTTTAATTTCTCTATTTCTAAAAATAGTGTTTGACGAAAAATCTAGGATATCCTAACATACTAGAAATATATCGCAAGGTAACTTAAATGGACTCAAATATTGTTTTTATTTTATTTCATTAAATGTATTTGAAAAACACGAAGAATTTGATTTTTTTATGAAGAGTTTTATTGTATCTAAACATCCACTCGAAACAGTTTAAAATCAATTTTACGTTCTATGTATTATCAATTCTTCCGTTTCCCAAAATTGCTCTTCATTGAGTTGCACTATAATATTTTTAATCTTTTAGATGAATGATATAATAAAATGATATATTAATAATAGATAAACAATTCAATTTTTAACGCACAAATTATTTTAAAAAGACTTACTTTTTCTTTCAAAGCTAACTCACTATTTCCTTAGTTTTCCAAGAATTAAACCTACTTATTTCACTATATTTGTCACTATTTTTGTTCTCTCATTCCTCCCGCTCCTATTCCTAATTATAAAAACTGCCTGAATTCTGACAGGGTTTCATGGAAGGATTCAGCATGGTCCAAGATTGAATTCACAGTCTGTTTATACTAGAATGTTGACCAATACAGCGTTCGATTCGGTGTAACATGAAATAGAGAGTAGGGTACCGTCAAAGTGGAACTATTAGCTTAGTATCCGTTCGATTACAACGCTTTTTCTAGATGGGCCCCTTTTTTTAAACGGGACGTGCATTTCGCAAAAAACAGATATTTCAATTACATAAATAATGAGTTTAAACTATCTGAAATTCAAAAAACCTGTGTGATTATTAAAAATTACACAATTTCTATTTTTGAATTGCATATTTATACTCGAAATAGCTCGGTCGCTTAAAAATGAATCAACGCTGAATGTTGGGAGAATGTGGCTGTACCTTAAATGTTCGCTGTAAAGATCCCAAAAATACCGCGTGCATCGCTGATGAGCCAATTCCCGTCACAAAAATGCCACTCGTCGTTTATAGCCAATCGCAAGATCCTATCATTGGAAAATGTGTCGCGATTATCTCCGCTTGGTTCCTTTCTTCTTTATACACGTGTTACAATATAAATGACGTCTGTTTTATTTGAAAATTCCAGCTGCTCGGCGAAGAGATGTACAGCGGCCACGAGAGGAGCTACCGGACGCGCGGCAGCGAGCGGTCAAGCAGGTCAGCCAGTCCAGACGCGTCGCGAGCCGACAACCTGGGCTACGAGGATAGCTTGGACGTTGCCTTCGAGCACAACAACAAGCTGCGGGACAAGATACAGCAACGGATGAGGGAGAGCGAGAACCTAATAGCCAGCACGTTCGGCCAGAGGACCAACGACGACGAGCAGGATCGCGATGACAAGCGGGATAACTCGAATGTTCACGAGCACCTACCCGGCTCAGGCGCGTCGAACAGAGACCAAGAATCGTCGCCAGGTCACAAGAACAAGGTGAACTCCACTCTGGGTGGTTTGCTGGACAAGGCGCTGTCCAACTTGCTGCACAACAACGGCAAGCATGATCATAAGTGAGTTATCTCGTTTATTTTCGCAGTTGAACCAACTAGTGACATAAATATTCATGCAACAATTCAAAGATCCAGATGCAGTCAGTTCCAAGAAAACTGCGACTCGTTGATTGTTGGAGTCGAGCGTAGAAGTCTTCGGAAGTTTTCTAAACATAACTCCCTTTCTTTCTTAAACTTATCTCCTTCTTCTAAACAGGAATCTACAAAATCCCTTGTATATGTGGCAAAGTTTACACGGGTGAAACTGGGAAAATGGTCAACACATACATAGAGGAACACCAATTTGCAGTCAGCTCGAAACATACAACACAATCAATGTGCAGTCAGAACATCATATAGAAACGAAACTCAAAATCCTATTTGATCAAACAACAATTTTAGCCGAAACTAACGCCTGCCTTCCTAGAAAATACAGAGAATCCTCAAAGTTCGCCAAGCTTACAAGCACCCCAATAAGAGACAGCGGACTAAAACTAGTTCGATTTGGAAATCTATCTTCCAGGTTTTACGAAGTCCTAAAAGTTTCTAGAAAGTTCTATGTCTCTCAGTGGAAGTCTTTCTTGTTAATTAATTAATATTGAATGGACGCAATAATGAATTTACCAGATTGGCGTGGTAATGAGTCGTCGGGCTCTTGAGGAAAACGCGAAGCCATTTTAGAAATATCTCGCGGATGAGCTCGCGCGCAAAATTGTCCCGGTTATGGAGAGTCGGCGACTTGGCGCGTCGCGATATCGAAAACTTCCTCCTCTTCGGAGTGGACTTGAAATTAGTCGATCTCCCTCGCACGTCCTCGGTGTGACGGCGCTCGCTATCGATTTCTGCGTAGAGCCCTTCTTCACGTACACCGCTCTCGCGGATGACGTCGCGTTTCTATGAAATCCTACCTGTCTAGAGAGCACTACCGCGGAGCCGAACGGAATGTCAAGTCCGTTGATTAAAGGAAGGAAATTATATACTGTATTTATATAGCGGTTCGCGTATCAAAGCGCATTTTTCGGTTTCGTGTCAGTTCGACAACCTGTTGATCGTTCGATTCACTCGTCCGACCATACGTTCCGCGTACGGCCGCTCGATTTCTCGATTGCGCCGCACGAATTTGGCGTGTGATCGGCGCCGGCGCGGATTCGCCCGCCGAAAAAGAAAATAACCCTCTGCGTCGTCGATCAATTCCCCGGGAGTCCCGAAATACGAAATGCGTTAAACGCAACGCCCCGGTGAACGCAGCCCCGATGCCCGTTTCCTTCCTTCCTCTCTCTCTCTCTCTCCCTCTCTCCCTCCCTCCCTCTCTCCTCTTTTCTTCCTATTCGAGATGGGATTATTCGAGGCCACGAGCTTGGTTTCATCGAGGATGGCCGAGAGACCGCGTCTCCCGTCGAACGATGCCTATTCGTTCGCGTTGCGTTCGTATTGATCCGCTCTTCTCTCTCTCTCTCTCTCTCTTTTGTCACTCCACCCTATACGTAATGAGCGATCTCTCGGCAACAACACCGACGTGTAGCGGCACCTTATAGGACTCTACATAGAGCACTTAGTATAGCGCCTGATACATGCGACGTTCGTTATTTCTCTATTCGGGCTATTTACGAGCCAACGTGTTTCCTCGGGAGAACCCGGCCAGGGGAAACCACCTCGATAGAGCGTATGCACCTGCGTGCAGTTTCTATAAATACCAAAGAGAGTTCAGTTTCGCTCTTGACACGTTTATCGCTATGCCGATAAATTCACACGTGGGCCCCACCAAGCCCAAACACTCGGCGTGTTACATTGATGATGCTTTGTTGCTTTTCATTCGATATTCTTCTAAACATTCGACATTAAAATCGTTCCAAATTGAGCAAGCAAAACTCTCATCTGCTTGCTTTTGCGGAAAGTCATGCGTCTCACCCGAAGAATAATAATAAAATAATAGAATAGAATTAAAAAAAAAATGTTTAATAAAAGAAATAGATAATGATAATAATAATAATACTTATTATTATTATTATAAATTTCCACTCTTCTACATTATATTTATTATTTATAGTCACTATTATCACAATTATTAAAATTATTATATAAACTACTCTCTTTAAATACTTTACATCATTTTAACTCACACATCTATTATCATTGTATTATATTGCTATTTCCCGACTCTATTACATTCTTTTAACATCCTTCATATGTCAGACTTCTTTCCTGTTTTTCATTTTCCTCTTTAATCTTTCTCGAACTTCTTGTCTCTCTTTTTTATTAATAAAACTCCTTTTCCTCATAGCTTCCTCAAAATATTACTTTTTACCTCATCTTATGATCCCGTATCCTTTTCCATGTTTCTTCACTATCGCCTATTAATTCTTCAAAACATCCTTCAATATTCTGACATATATCCATATAATATTTTCAGGGTTGTCAGAGATCTGGAAAACCGGGAAAAGTTAAGGAAATTTAAAATGTCAAGGAAAAGCTGAAAAATCAAGGAAAGATATAAAAAACTTGGAGTTTTTTAACTTTGCTTACAATTCCGTTAAATATTCTCAACTGTATTTTTTTTTTCCAATATTCATTTATTTTTTATTAGCCTGAATTTGCATTCAGGATTATTATGTTACTAAATGTTTGTTTTGTTTTTAATAATATAAACTACCTCTCCTGCAATCTCTGCTTCTAAACGTTAAGGTTTAAGGTTACATATTGCTCATGGAAAACTCTTCATTGTCGTCTGTGGAAACATGGAAAGTCGAGGAATTTCAAAATTTATTTTCCGTAGTAATCCTGTGTCTTATACAATCCTATCATTTTCCGCAAAATACACTATTTTCTTCTCTTATCCAATATTTATTCACCTCCTTCCCACATCTTAATTTAACCAACATTCTCACTCCATCACCCATCTTTAACTCAAGTTCTCCCTCCTCAGATTAATAAAACCGTCATCACACTTTGCAGCGGCTCCGCTCCGATGAAACTGCTGGCGGAGCTGGCGTGCGCCCGTGCCCCGACGTCCACGTTGCCGGAGAACGACGACGCCAAGACGAGCGGCAAGAATCACCAATCGGCGAAGATGATCGCAGCGGCCAAGGATTCAGATTCGCCGAAGAAATCGACGAGGGACCCAGCGGTCGTACCGAAGAAGGCGCGGAACCCCATCAAGGAGCTGTTCGAGCGCAAGAAGGAGATCAACGACAGGAAGCAGCAGGAACGCTCGGCGGCACTCGTGGAGCTGAACAGTGGCGCGCAGCGGCAGCGTAAGCCGAAGAAGAGCAAGCAGCAGGAATTCCCGCTGATCCGCAGAGACGAGCACTATGGCGGCCTGGCCGAGAAGAAGAAACGGCGCGAGTCCTTGGAGCGGAAAGCGGAGCCGCTAGTGGAGCGGGTGAAGGACGTGTACGAGTTCGACGAGGAGGAGAGTCAGATGGCGCCCACGTTAGGCAGCGTGATGTCCTACAGGAGCCAAGTGGAAAAGAACTACGAGAACAACAGCTGGCCGAGGCTGAAGAGCGTTACCGGGGACCTGGACGCGGTTTTGGAGAACGGCAAGGCTGCGGTCGCCGGCTACGTCGTGGACGCGAAACCGAACGCGGGCTCAGCCGAGCGCAAGTTTCGCGAGCTGGAGAAGTTCGCGCCGAAGACGAAGGGCGCCCTGAAGTCCTTCCAGAGCGAGGAGCAACAGCGCGTGTCGATCAGCGGGCCGGTGGACCAGTTCGTCGAACGGAAGCAACATCTGAAGCGCGCCGTCGTGCCGCACAATAGTGCCAACAAACAGTCGAAACTGAAGAAGCGGGGCAAGAGTTCGAAGAAACGAACGAAGAACGCGTGGTACGAGAACGATAGCTCGGACGAGTTCCGGACGGCCGCGAAGGCGGAGGACATCGGCGTCGGTATCTCGAAAAGTCAGCGCGCCTGCTCGAAGGGCAAGCAGAACCTCTTCGCCGAGTTGTCGACGTCGTCCGAAAGCGAGTACGAGTCCGTCGGCCACGAGCCGCCGCGCGCGAAGCCGAAGAAGAGGGAGTCGGTCGACGCCGATCAGGCCGATTGGAGAGAACGAGTGGTCGTCGAAGAAGAGGAGGAGGAGGACACCGCGAAGAAGAACCAGTCGGAGTCGGAGATGTCGGATCACTCCTTGGTGATAGACGAGCGGAAGACGACGGACGAGGCGAGGAACAGCGACGAGGACGGTGACAATCAGTATGAGAGGACGTTCGAGTTGGACGACCTGTACAGGGAGGACAGCACGGACGCGGAGTCGGAGGCCGAGGAGCCGAAGAACACGGTGGACGGGAACGACTTTGTGTCGGAGCTGATCCCCTTGGAGGAAGCGTTGGACCTCTTGGACCGCCACGAAAACCTCGACCCGAAAGCGGAGGTCGTACAGACTGAAAGCGCCCAGCTGAACGGCATCATAGGGACCGTGATGGTGGAGGAGGAGGAAGCTTCCAACGACGAGGTCGTTCGCGAGGAGAGCAAGCGCCTCAGTCCAACAGATGCGTCGGACGAGAAGGAGGATGACGACGCGCCGGTGCTGCCCGAGAAACTCTCCAGCAACGAGAAGCCGCAGAAGGAGTCCGACAACTTGCCGCTCCACGTGTTCCTCAGCAGGAAGGTGCAGGAGTCGAAGAAGCGGAAGCAGCAGCAGCTGGACAAGCTGCGGGAGGAGCAGGAGAGGATATTGCTGGACCTGCAGCCGACCAGGAGGCAGCGGAAGTGCGCGATAGGCAAGCAGGGTCTGCTGGCGGAAATCAGCAGCTCGGACGAGGAATCGTATGCGAGGGACAGCAAGAAGAGCAGCGACAGGTCGGAACACGAGAGCAAGCTGCGAAAAAAGCGGGAGTCGAAGGAGAAACGGAAGGAGCGGTACATCGAGAAGAAGCACGAGCAGATGATCGCGAAGGAGCAGAAGGCGATCGAGGAGGAGATCCTGCGGGAGGTCGGCAAGAGAAAAGAGATCGTCCTCACGCAGAACAGCACGGACGACGTCGCGACGGAAGCCGAGCAGAAGAGGAAGGCGAAAGACCGGCAAAAGAGAATCGACGAGCGAGACGCCGAGGGAGACGCGGAGGAGGAGCACGCTAGTCAGTCTCCTCTCGACAACTCGGAGCGCGCTTTCTCGACCGTGGAGAGCGTCTCGGAGAACGAGAGCGGCGGCTGCCTGGTATCGCCGCCGAAGCGGAAGAAGCACTCGCCGGCGAGGTCGAAGAAGGCCTCGAGAGCCGAGAACAACGCGGCCAGTCCGGCGAGCAAGCAGAAGAGCGCGGAGAAGTCGAAGAACCGCGGCGCGACCTCCGGGGCGAAGGACTCGAAGGAGCGCAAGTCGTCCAACGGGAAGCGCGACTCCGACGACGAGGAGTTGAAGACCACCAAGTCGTGGAACAAGGTAGAGGAGGGCGTCGGGGTGGCGATCGGCCGGCGGAAACGCACCGCCGCCCTTCAGCTGTATTATTGGTCCAGCTCGAGCGACGAGGAGGAGCCCGAGCCCACGGCCGCGCCCGACGAGGAGGAAGAGGACGACCGGCAAGAGCAGCACGGCTGGATAGTGGGCGACTCGCACAAACGCATGATCACGATGCTGGCGATGGAGAAGCAGCTAAAGGAGAAGCGACGCAGGAGCGAGGACGAACTCGAGTCCGGCAAGGCCAAGAGCAAGAAGCACAGGAACAGCACCTCTTGATACGTGTTTCACGACTGAGAGCGGCGAGTCGAGTGAACTCTCGAGATGACCGAGTCATGTTTCTCTAGGTTTAGTCCGAAGGTGAGAGCGCAATCAGAAGATTAACACGAAGAGGAGAGTGGGTGGTTTGGTCCCTGCATTTGTCTCTTCGAGCGAGCGTTGCGTCTCTTAGCTTTCATCTCCGATTCTGTTTAGATAGGCACAGTGAGAGAGAGGAAGCGCGATATCTACGGCCGGGAGTTACTTGTTGTGTTCTGTTTAGTTTTCTCCCTTTCTTCCTTCCTGTATCTTCTCATCTCTTTCTCTCTCTCTCGTTCTTTTTTCTTTCCCTCTCTGAGGCACGCGTTATCGCGAACAATATGGGAATGATTTAGGAGGCAACTCTTTTTCCTGTGAAAATGCAAGAGGGAAAGATGTAAGATGTGTACATATAGACTGCTTGGCGCGTTAGGTTAAAGTTAGCGATTAGAAAAATATTCTGTCGCACCATAAGAATATATATATATATATATATATATATGACTTCGAGAACTTACAAAAATACCGCAAGTAACGCGATTTAGACTGAATGTGTGAGAAATAGCGGAGAACAAAGTGGGCACCCTTAGACAATACTAGGACATTTGTAACGTTTAGTTGTACGTAGGAGAAGTCCCTCGCGATAGAGAGACGAGTCGGGAGAGGAGGAGGGAGAAAAGGGGGCGGGGATGAAAACCAGAGATTCAGCCAGCCAGCCGCTTATACTTAGGAAAGGACAACGTAAAACCGGGTCCAATCGAGTTTAGCGCTTCTACCAGCTTTTCGTAATTTGTGAAACGTATTCCTCCGTATTCTTGCATATTCTTACATATTCATACGTATTCTTACATATCGCAGGGTGGCGCGAAACATTTCGGTGACGATATCGCTCGCGGTATCCTTAAAATGTTTGCTCGTGCGAATGAAACAGGCGAACTTCTTTTTGACTTTCGCACGTTGTTTTTACGAATTTTCTAGATCTCAGACTCGCGCGTTCGGCCGACACGGGGCCACGTTTAGTCGACGAAAAATATATAAAAGAAATGAAAAGAATAAGAGATACGCATGAGCGCGCGCGCGTGCGACACACGGACGTTATTCTTTTTCTTTTCGTACTCGCCTCGTGCACATAGACGTAAGTATGTAGATTTTCATATATTACAAGAAGAAATGTTATACATGTTACACGCAAGCGACAGAAATGATTAAAAAAAAAACAAACGATCATAGACTTTAATGTAAATGTACTGCCATAATCATATATATTATACGAAAGCCTATGCGAGATAGCGATTAATATTATTCCTGTAAAGATTTAAAATAAAAAAAATCTCTAGCACAAAACTAGGTAACGACCCAATGTAAATAGAGCATATTTTCAATGTGTCTGGAAAAGTATGTTTTGTAATATAAGGATTGCAAAGGAAAATAAAATTATTCAACAATACGCTTTATTCCTCATATAAGTTATAACAACGATTATAATAAAGATACGATTTTCTTGTAAGAAAAAGCGCATGTTACCGTGCAAGTATAATATTCGTTGCGTTTAATAATTAGATCTCTTAATAAAAGTCCTGCATTGGAACGTACTACTTGAAAATAAAAAAGATCTGCCATTGAAACGCACTATTTTTGAAAATAATGGAATCTTGCCGTTGAGTCCCCGGGAAAAAAAGATTATATATGAAATTTGCCCATATATAACTATATATAATCATATATGTCGACAACGAAAAAATACGGTTGTTTACAAATTATATACAAATACAATCGAAGTAAATGCTTCTGGCTACTTGTACTAACAGCACATGATATCGACATTTAATTAGATGACATAACATCATTTTTTTTATGTAGACATATATGACCATATATATAACCATATATATAACATATTACATATATCATATATATATATATAATCATATATATAATATATGCGGGCAAAATTCATACATGATTTTGTATAATTATATATAATCATTTTTCCCGGGTCCTTGAAAATATAAGATGAAAGTCGGCCTTTGTTGCCGAAGTTCATCATTGAATCACACTATTTGAAAGTAAAATGTCTACTTGACTTGTCATTGAATCCTCCTATTTGCAAATAAAGAAGTCACCTTTTTTATAATGAGAAATTGAAGCCTTGTTGCGAGGATAAATCATTCTTCTGAAAAGAAAAAATTAGCAGTGAAGCGACATTTCGTAATGTCGAATAATCGAGTGCAGAAAATATCGATATAAGTCGAATTGTTTGAAGAGTCGAGGAACTAATCGATTCTTAAATTGAAAAGATATCGAACATCGATTATCATAGCGTTTTCGATTTGTTGACTAGGGCAACATTCCGTAGTATTCGCTATAATATTGCAAACGCTATAATATATGTAACATGAACTATAGATAGTAGTACTGCACTTGTCGGAATACCCGAAGTCGGGTCGAGTCGAAAACGCTATCAATTAATCATTGCCCATCCTTGCTTTGCTGGGTAATTTGTGAAATGGTGTTGGAAATCCACCCTACGGAATTCCTGAAACTATTATTGAGAGGAGTTTCAATGCCGGGTTTTGCACGATGTGCACCGTTACAGAATAAACGATTGAATTAGAGTTCGTGATGCAATAACCTAATTGTCAACTTTTAGAAAAGTTTTACACCTTTGATTTCTTGATTTAGGTCACATGTATTTCATAACATACACTTAAAGAATTTCATAGATACTTTTCATTCGTTATACAAGAGCGATTGCTTGTCCGGCAACTGAAGAAGGTTGTTACGAAAAATGAAACAATTCATATACGGCAGATTCGGGTAAGATTAATTCAAATCATCAAGAGAGGTCGAATTAATAAGTTACTCGCAACACTTGTCCGTCATGCGAAATAATTTATTTTATTTGTACAACTCGTGTCTCACAGGAACACGTTCTATATGCTCCTAAGTGTGAATCAGGTTATCAACTATTCATATCAGTGTATTAATTAAACAAATTATAATTTACCATATTAGAAACACGTTCCTTGATTTATAATTTCTCTAGCTTATACATGTTTGCATATTGTTCTTCATTTTTTCTAATCTAAATTTTTTTGGATAAATCTTTGCGAACAGAACATAACCCCTATAATCTATGGCTTTTTCTGATTTTTCTTACATATATCTTATATTTTTATATCTGTATATTCTTTTTATTCTTCTAATGTTTTCTCATGTTTTTTCCAGTCGTAGCATTTTACTGGTTCCCAAAACTCCGAAACATCCAGTATTACTTATCAACGCACGGGAGTTAATGTCTGGGAAATTCAATAGACACTATAGACCGTTATTGGCAACGCCACATTTAAAATATTACGCAAATCCACATCGAGGATATGCTATGGTGGTAGCAAGAATTTTAAGAGGAGCGTTAAAACTTCGATATATCCTCCTAGGAGGTACAGTTGGTGGTGGTGTTGCTTTGCAAAAGGTAAATATCACAAATTATGTATGCTTTCTTTCTGTTCTATTTGCATGTCTCTTTAAATGACAGAGTTTTGCCAATTATTAAACATGTTTCCTTCCATAACATTTTTTCATAACTTGATGTACATGTTTATAGAAATACAATGAGTGGAAAGAAGCAATGCCAGATCTAGGATGGCTAGAAAATGTAATGCCTACTGAACAACAATGGCAAAATTTCCGTGGATCATTGATAGCGATTAAGGATAACGTATCTGACAAAATCGAAATTGGTAAGTATGACAAATACATAGATTGCTTATATCTGTGAAAACGTGAGGCAAAGAAAATGAGTTATACAAACTCGCGGTAAAAACTCGGCAAATAGATCCACGTATAAAGGAGTATGGACTAGCTAAGTATCAGGAGTACAGGACGTGGTTTGATCAAAGACTGGATGATGCTATTAAGGCAGCGGAAAATCGCCAAAGAGATCTAGAGAATAATTCCATACAGAGTGAGTGATTGGCAGGTCTCTGTTATGTTCCCTTGTATTTTACATTGCATGCTGTCCCTAACTTTGTCCCATAATTATGATACATCCTATCCTACAATCTATTTTTTTCTATTATATATTATTTTTTCCGATTATTATTCCATCCCATTCTTTTATTTGCTTGACGTTTTCCTGCTTATCAATGATTCCGGCCATTTTAAGAACACAAGCCGGTAAAAGTGTTATTACCCTCCCTCACATTTACGATTCTCTTCGTCGCTTCACAATTTTTTCACACATAGTCTACGTTTAAATTTATCATGTGTATGCGCAAATTTATGTAAAATTGCATGTATAGCTTCCAAGTTTGCTTATTAAACATTGATCAAACAGTTTATACTTCTAAAGAAACGTGCATTATTTCACAGATTCATATTTATTATAAGTTTATTATGGTCTGTTCTGTTCAGGTGCAATTAACACCATCTTGATGGTGGCTAAGAAAGCTTATTCAGGTGTGTAAAGAGTTTGAAATTATTATTGTTTCGTACATCTTCTTCTGTCCATTCAGCATTTTGTAGCTGAGCAATTTACAATGCAAGGGGCATTTGGCCGATAATAATAATGTTCAAGTAAAATAAAATGTACTTAAATGTTACACAGAGTAACAATAATGGACATATACATTTTAATTTTAAATACTGAATGGGACAGAACCATTGGTCGTTGCTTCTCATTTTATTTTATGTACTTACACGCATTTTATGACATCATTGTTCTCTAATTTGAGTTCTAATTATCTCATTGAATAACGAAGGATACCTCACGCTCGATAAGCTCCATCAATTCTACATGATATCAGTTGATACAAGCTTTCTTGCATTTACAGAGCGAAAAATGAATGATCATAAATTTTAAATACATATGACATCTTGTTTTTAAACAGAAACAAACAATCAGTTGCCAAATAAGGTTGCCTTTGCACGTCCATTGGCTAGTGATAATACCGAAGAGGAACGTAAGAAAGCTCGTACGTAAATGTCGTCATAATGTGGCACTGAACATTTTCCTACGCACACATACAAATGTATTCCTGCATTCTCATTGAAACATCCTGTGTCCATTTGAAGAATACTCGAGACATGACACCACATCGGAAGATCCGATGCAAATGCTACTGAAGTATCAACGCGAATTGGAACGATTAGAAAGAGAGAACAAAGAATTGCGCAAGCAGATGCTTCTACGGGGAAATCAGAAGTTCAACCAGAAGAAGATCAAGGTAACAAGCCTGTGCCGCATGCATACTGATTTGTTTGTCTCGTATGTCGTTTAAATTGATTTAATCTCTGCAGAAATCTCTGATCGACATGTATAGCGACGTTTTGGATGAACTCAACGACTATGACAGTGCCTATTCCACAGCTGATCACTTACCCAGAGTAGTAGTTGTCGGCGACCAAAGCTCAGGTAAAACGTCCGTGCTCGAAATGGTCGTTCAAGCAAGGATATTTCCAAGGTATATTTTCCTTTGTGTTATTGTATGTTCCCATAGATAGTGATCATGACGATATTCATTAAACAAGATAAATATAGGCTCTTAGATTGATAAATCTAAATTTAATTTTAACTCAGGCCAATGATATAAATATGTATATAAATTTAGAAGAGACACATTTTCATTATATATATATATAATATACTTGAAATCTTATTTACGAATTTTAAGTATATAGACTACGCACAAAATGCTTTAATGTGCACAAATTACTTGATACTTCTTCAAAAGATAAGCAAGATTCGAACAGTTATAACTTCGTCAAAAGTTACCGATTATACGTGAGATTATATATAACGTGAATATCCTCTAAATTCTTGTATGCCTATTTATATATTACAATTATACTTAACGTTTGACTCTCATTGGCATATTCATCTTGACACAGAGGAGCAGGTCAAATGATGACGAGGGCACCGGTCAAGGTTACACTGAGTGAAGGGCCGTATCATATAGCACAATTCAAAGACAGCTCTCGAGAATTCGACCTCACGAAAGAGTCGGAACTAGCCGAGCTACGACGTGAGGTGGAGCTGCGAATGAAGAATAGCGTTAAAGACGGTAAAACAGTCAGCCCAGACGTCATATCTATGACGGTGAAGGGACCGGGCCTTCAACGTATGGTTCTAGTCGATCTACCTGGTATTATTAGTGTACGTATGTAACACACGCTTCTGTACACTTACGAGCGAACAGTGACGGATTTATACACAAACCAGTGAGATGCTGAAGCATCAGAGCCTCCATTGGAAGACGGCTTCATTTCAGTCATCCTTTTTCATTTACTTGTAAGCTTCTTTCATAAGCTTTTCATTGACTTATAAGTTATGGGGCTTCTGAAATATCATTAGCATCAGGCTCCGGAAAGTCACCATCCGTCACTGCGCGCGAACCCTCTGACATTGCTCGTAACCTTCTGAATTGTTCTGAGACAGTCAGTAACCGTTAACATGGCCGAAGATACTCGCGAGGCGATCAAACAAATGACTCAACAGCATATGAGCAATCCTAATGCCATCATCCTCTGCATACAAGACGGATCCGTCGACGCGGAGAGGAGCAACGTGACCGACCTCGTAGCTCAGATGGATCCATCCGGCAAAAGGACGATCTTTGTCTTGACGAAGGTACATATCCCTCCTTGTCAGATGTAACGCAGTCAGAACAAAAGTAAATTCCGAGATTATCAGACACGGTTGTTATCTCACGGCAGGTTGACATGGCGGAAAAGAATTTCGCAAATCCCGAAAGATTGCGCGAGATATTGTCCGGTAAATTGTTCGCCATGAAAGCATTGGGCTACTTCGCCGTTGTGACCGGTCGTGGCGGGCAGGATGACAGTATACAAACGATCAAGGACTACGAAGAGCAGTTCTTTAGGAATTCAAAACTCTTCAAGTATGAATGCTCGATGTTAACCGAGTAGTTTTTATATTCAGGGAGCTACCTGGGTATCTATCTGTTCTCTAATTTTATGGATGTTATATATAAATATTACTTTTATATAAAAATATTTTTAATATAAATATTATATATATATATATATATAATATTTATATTAAAAATATTTATATATATATATATATAATATATAAAATATTTTTATATTATATATATATATATGAGTAATACTTGAAATAACGAGGTAATGAAAATACTCGGGTAGTAGTTGAATATTAACAGAGTTGCCACAGACTTGAAAACTAGGGAACCGGAAAATTTCGTAGAAATTTAAAATGTCAGGGAAAACCTGGAAAAGTCAGGGAAAGATATAAAGAAATCTGGTATTCTGAATTTTGCTAACAAAATTCCCTTAAATATTTTCAACTGAATTCTTTTTTCCAATACTCACTTATTTTTGTTGATCTGAATTTGCATTCAGGATTATATTATTAAATTTCTAAGTTTGTGTTGCTTCTAATAATATATAAGATACCTCTTTCGTGCAATTCTCTGCTTCTAAACATTACAATTTAAGATTATACATTGCTCATGAAAAATTCTCCATCGCCGTTTGGAAAATATGGAAAGGGAATTTCAAAATTCATCTTCTGTGGCANCTCTTTTTTTTTCTTTTTTTTTTTAATTGTATTATTATTATATTGTATTATACCGTATATTTTGTTATTTTGTTGTATTGTTGTAATTTGTATTCAGGATTATATATTATATTATGTTTATATATTATATATATGTACATATATACTTATGTTACTAATCTTTTAAGTTTATGTTGCTTCTAATAATATAAACTACTTTTCTTACAATCCCTACTTCTAAATATAAAGTTTAAGATTTAATTAAAGTTTATATTACTCATGAAAAATTCTCCATATCGTCTGAAAAACATGGAAAAGTCAAGAAATTGCAAAATTCATTTTCTGTAGCAATCTTGATTAACTGGTTACTTTAAATAAATTATTCTATTAACTAAAAAACTTAAGTATTAAGGGTACTAAAGAAAACATATTATAGACTTTTTAAGTACATTCGTTGTAATAAATATTTTCTTCATCCAGAGACAATTTAGCAATGTCAGGTCAAGTGACTACCAAAAACCTGAGCTTAGCTGTGGCCGAATGCTTTTGGAAAATGGTGCGCGAGACAGTGGAGCAACAAGCGGACGCGTTCAAAGCTACGAGGTTTAATTTAGAAACAGAATGGAAAAATAATTTTCCAAGGTAAGAAATATATATGCTCATAAGAGAAATGTTTCGTCCAGCTTTTGTCTTTTGGTCAACTTATTTCGTGGCGTGTAATTCAGGTTAAGGGAATTGGACAGAGACGAACTCTTCGAAAAAGCGCGTGGTGAAATTTTGGACGAGATCGTCAACCTGTCGCAAGTGTCACCAAGGCATTGGGAGGAGGTGCTGATGACGCGAAATTGGGAAAAAGTCAGCAAGCATGTTTTCGACAATATCTACTTGCCTGCTGCTCAAAGCGGAAATCCAAGTATAACATATATCGCTACTAAACTCTATTCATATAAAACAAAAACAGAATAATTTTGTAAAGACGCTAATCGCGTTCACAGATACGTTCAATACCACTGTCGATATCAAACTCAGACAGTGGGCGGAGCAGCAACTTCCAGCATGTAGCGTTGAAAGCGGATGGGAAAGTCTACAGCAGGAATTCCATAACTTCATGATGCAGGCTCGACTCAGCCAGGATCATGACGATATCTTTGACGACCTCAAGAACGCTGTCGTGAACGAGGCAATGAAGCGTCACTCCTGGGAAGAGAAGGTACATCCCATATATTCTGTTCTTTATTTCCTCCACCTCGCAATGAACCACAATATTCGTACAGCAGACATCAACAATTTATTTGTACTAAATATAAATATAAAAACTCTCAAGATATATAATCAAGCATCAAAGGCAGGTAAGAACCATGCTGCCATTTTTAGCCATCTAAATAATTTGGTGCATGTTTTAATAATTAAGAAAGAATGTACTGTCAAAGAGAGGGAGAGAGAGAGAGAGAGAGATATTATATAAAATGTTTTTATAGTGTTGTAATTTTAGAGGTTCTTTGAGTCATTTATTGGAAACGTTCGAAAATTTATATTTAATTTATAATTTTTTATGTTTAATTTTATAATTTTTTTTATATTATCAACATAGGGCCGTGAAGAATCAAATACGGATGTTTTAGTGTCGTATATATTTCATTTTTTTTTTTTTTTTTAAGCTTAACTGACTGCACTAGTTCAAGAAATTTACATATACTGAAGTATAAAAATCTTGTATATATGTTTCATACGTTTCAATGTGTATGTAAATTTCTTGAACTAATACAATTAGTTCAGCTAAAAAAAATAAACAAATTAATAATGTCAAATTATAAATGTAATTAATATAAAAATAAGAGGATAAAGTTGTCCACGTATGCGAAACGTACGGATTTTTTTCGGCAGGACGAAACGCGATGACAACCTTTCGCGTAAGAACCAGCCCATTGAATCCCAATAATATTAGTCATCAATTTAAAATTACCCCTTTTATCCAATTGCTAACTAAATTAGTGAACAATCTAATGACTCTAATATGTTGCGTAAAATACTGGTTCCTCATAGCTCTATACTGATAATTTATCTTGACGATATTTTCATTAAATTATTCGCTAAGAACATTTGTTCAGTTTGGCTCTTATTTGCCTTCGTTACTGCTTAATTGTATTTCTTATATTTTATTTCTTATATCGTTACTACTTAACTGTATTTCTTATATCTTATAGGCATCGGACATGCTACGCGTTATTCAACTCAATACCCTGGAAGACAGAAGTGTGAACGACAAGCGCGATTGGGATCAGGCCGTGCGATTCCTAGAGAATTCAATTAAAGAAAAGTTGAACACTATAGAACAGACTCTGCGCAACATGCTGGGCCCCAATCGCAAGGAACGGTGGCTCTATTGGCAATACCAGAGTGAAGAGCAGCAGCATCGTATGGCCGTAAAGAACGAGTTGAATAAAATTCTTTATGCTGACAAAGTATGTGTATATGATAGTATCTTCTTATATTAAATTATATTTCTTATATTATATGGAATACTCTCGCAGTCGCGCTTCCTCGCTGTAGCAGCTGTATCGCGTAAATCTCTAATTACAGAAACACCCGCCCAAACTGACGCGCGACGAACTCACGGCCGTCAGGAAGAATTTACAGCAGAGCGGCTTAGAGGTCGATAATGAATTCATCCGGGAAACGTGGCATCCTGTGTACGAGAGGTTTTTCCTGCAACAGAGTTTGGCGAGAGCTTACGATTGTAGAAAAGGATACTACTTGTATCATACCGGGCATGAGAACGAGGTATGTAGAGAAATCACACGCAGAGCTGCTAGATCGTGGGATTTCTGGATAATGATTCACCTGATTTCTAAAAATCTACCAATCAGAACGCAACATTTCTAGCATGCAAGCAGTCCAGCATAAAAACAAGTATCAGGTTTTATATTTATGTACCGTTATATAATCCGCATTATATAATCTCACGTGAATCATGATCCCGAAATCCTGGCAGCTTTAAACACATGTTTACACTTTATACCGGTCGCTGTTAACAATTGACACGGATTTGAACTCTACTTTTAGATGGAATGCAACGACGTAGTACTGTTCTGGCGAATCCAGCAAATGTTGAAAGTCACCGCGAATGCACTTCGGCAACAAATCATGAACAGAGAGGCTCGAAGATTGGAAAGAGAGATCAAGGACGTTCTGGAGGATTACAGTCAGGACAATAAGATTAAGAAAGATTTACTCACCGGTAGACGAGTCAAATTAGCTGAAGAACTCAGTATGTATCGTAATATCTTGATTACTAATTATCACGAATTTGTAAAGTATTGGATTTCGGCGTACAAAAAATTATTAGTGAAATAGCAGCAATAAATTTCTAAGGCAGTGAATATTTTTAAATGACAAATGTTAGAATCTCTTAATTTTGCTAAATTATCATTTTTTATTTCCAGAACGAGTTAGACACATCCAAGAGAAGCTAGAAGAATTTATCAAAGCGCTAAACAAAGAGAAATAAATGAATTAAATTTGGTGCAGACCAGAGCTCTGATGTTACTTGAGCGAATGTAAGATCATGAGATATGGATCCGTGTGAATAGGAATTAATGTTTCGAAATAAGGATACACATACGTGAGGAAATAGATAGCACCTTTCCATGATTTGAATCATGATGAATTTGGAGCGATCACCGATTCAAGAGCGTAGGAGAGTAGCGATGTCATGGTTTACTGAACACAATCACATCGCATAAGTGACATGCGCTTAACTTAAGTTTGTGTGATATAGGTAACGAACGGAAATCTCTACATTCTCTCATACGAATGAATTTTGTAAATATGAGGCTAATATATGCAATCGTAAAGCAAAAAATTCTTACGTAAATATATTTAGAATAATATCACGATTATTTGATAAATGCATTTATCGCTATAAAAATACAGTAGTAATGCAGTTACAATGAATGTTGTGGCTGAAAATTAATTTCATATTTGTTAAACCCAACATTCGTATGAATGAAGTTGCCATCGCGACGTGTTACCTTTAAGTAACTTTTAGAAATTGTAAAGCGAAAAGAAGTAAGATATATATAAGGCACAATTCAAATAAAACCAAGAATATCTTCGTGCATTCTTTCTTTTTCTCATTCTCATGAGCGATTGAGATTTCCTGTTTAGATGTTCTTTTAGGCTGTGAATCTAGATATGATTCTATATGTACGTGTACTCGTTTGCAAAACTGAATATATTTTTTTGGATGAAGTTAGAAGCTCATCAAGTATTCACAATTACGAACTATTGTTTATGGATTGCGTGATCTTGCCGTAATCAATTGTGACAAAAGTCGAAGTGACAATATGGAGCGTAAATATTCTCTCCCTTCATTATATTTTTATTTGATAGATAGGAGTATAATCAAGATATTTATATTTCTCTTGACTTATTCGTTACAAACGTCGAATGTCTCGTTTATTGTCATTTCGATTCCTATGTTTCTCATGACTGTTTGGTGATGCTTCTTTATCTACATTTTATTTAACAACATTTTGTCGCAAGAGCAGCCAACCCCGTCGCTTTTATCATTACATAGATGATAAATATACTGACAAGCAATGAAGCAAATTGTTATTAGGAGTTAGTGAAGAAACCGTTATATTTTCACATCGAGATGTATTCTTTTGATGGATACTAAAAGTCAAACGTTCTCGAGATAATTCTTAATATATTATAGAATCGAATATTATATAACACAATCAAGTTGCAGTTATAATTAACAATCAAATTAATTATACATAATTAATATATATATAATATACAAACCTGATTTATTTTTTAGTTGTTTATTCCTACTTGTGAGTACTAATTTCTTTGAATTTTTTCGCGGCATGTGCGATTTTTAGACTGCGTTCCGATATTCGCTGCCAATACTAAAAATCAACAGTATACGTAACACGAACTATAGATTTTCAATCCTGACAATGAATATCGAAACGCAGCCTTCATACAGCGAAAGCGCAATACATTATATATGTTCGTGCAGTTGTAGGTCCATACACACGTGGTTTCTGACACGTCGCTACGTAGACGAAAGAGCTGCGCTTATATGCAACTAGACTACATTTTCTGTGGTATCTACAGCTTCAAGTTTTTTTCTTCGTAGAAGCCATATGATCTATTCTTTATAGTTGAACTGGCTGCATGCTAGTTCAAGAAAATTACACTCACTGAAGCGTGAGGGGGAATTCATACCTTAACAGAAAAGCAGAAAAGCAGCAGCCAATTTGAATTCGCGCTAGCCGACAGTTTCTGCTTTATCTACTCTTACTACCAGTGCCGGTTATGATTGGCTGATGCTTTTCTGCTTTCTGTAGTAGGATTTTGTAACCATCTACCAATAACTATCGGATCAGTATGGGCTAGAATTGGACGATACATTATCGATACATAGGGGAATAAGGATTTCTTTCCGAAAAATAGGATTCCCCCGCAATTTGTGGAAGAATCCATATTTTTCTGGGGGAAAATTCTATTTCCCTATGTATCGATACTACATTGCCCAACTCTAGTATGAACGGGTTGTTCCAACTTCTTAAAGATTTAACCGACCAATCAACAGTTTTGATATTTACCTAATAGATACCTGTCGAGTAAATCTTACCAAGAAGATGAAACAATCGAGCCTATATGTCGTTGCGCAGTTTTTTGCCATATGTTACACCTGCGCAACGACATATTCCTAGCCAACAGTTATCGGTAGACAGAATCCCATTACTGCTTTTCTGTCAAGATATGAATTCTTATTTAAGCTTGGTTCAATGTGCTCCTTTGTTTCCTTATTTCTGCCTTTTGTTCCTCGTTTCTTTTCTTTTTGTCGTCTAGACACAAAAGAAGTTATCGTCTACAATTTGTTTGTTCCATTACTTCGCATAGATCACAGAATAAAACAATTTTGTTTTTACAAGCTGATTAATGCAAACTTTTGTGCCTCTTATGTTTCTTGTCGACCGAAATAAAAGTTAACGAATTCCGGTAGAGTTAAGCAATAAGTGACAAAACACACAATTGTCGGTAAAACAATGCATCAAGAAGCAAAGAGACAAGAAGTACAAAGCAAGAAACAAGATGCAAAAAACACATTGCAGATCAAACTTCATGCCCGTGTCATACTACGAATTACTGGTCTAAAATTAGATTGCAATTTGACGAATCAGAACAAAGTTCACTAAACTTAAATTAAACTTGCTCCGATTGGTCAATTTCAATCCAATTTCAATCCTAATCCGTAGTATGACACGGGCATTAAGCCTGTATCGAACTACGGATTGGAGATTGATATTGAATTGAATTTAGTCAATCAGTGTAAAGTTAACTAATTTAGTAAAATTTAGTGAATTCTACACTGATTGGTCAAATTTCAATTCAATCTCAATCTTTAATCCAAAGTCTGATATGGGTTTTAGGCTTTGTGTCTACGATGCTAGATCTTGAGCAAAATTGCGGTCCGATATAAAAGTCACTAGAAGTGACTAGAAATTCTAGAATCTTTTAAGTATCTACTAACATAAATATTAAGGGTGCAATCCACGAAACCCTACAAACGATTTAAAGTGCTCAAAGAAAAGCCATGATTGGCCTATACGGCGCTTTAAAGCATTTGCAACGTCTAATGAATTGTACTTTAGATTTCAGAAAGTTATTAATCAGATATAAATGTTACTAAAAATTGCTGGTAAATTACTAATAAAATTACTAATAATACACATAAATGTTACTAGAAATACTAAAAATCTGGACTTTCATACTTTTTAAAAACATTTACCAACATAAATATTAGATCACAGGCAGGATTGTTGGTCGGATCTAAAAAGTTACTCGAAATTACTGGAAGTTCTAGTACCTTTCAAGTATTTACTAACCTAGATCTCGGGCAAAGTTGCCGGAAATAAAAGTTACCCAAAGTAACTAAAATTCTAGTATTTTTCAAACATCTGCAAATAAAAATACTAAATCTCAGACCGAGATCTAGTATCATGGACACAAGCCCTTTGGCCCGCCTACCTTCTGGAACAGTTTGATCACGTTGCAATTGCTACTGAAGCCTCCGATTTGTCAATTATGATATAACTTGTCCAATTGAGTAATCGGGATTTACTGTGGATAATCGCAGCCCGGCTAATCCTTCCTTGGATAACAACACATTATGTCTTTACAAAACTAATTTGCTCTTTTAAATATTAGATGCCGTATAATTATGATCTCAGAATATCTGCGATAATTTCCTATATAAGTATTGAATCGAATTATCCTTGCTCTTATCGCCTGTTCCAAAACTCATTGAAAAAGATAGTCTGCCATCGGACACTCGATTGCGGAAAATCAAATAACAGGGATGTCCCCGATCTAGTAGTACGGTGATTCCTCGTTCGTGCACATGTAGAGTTTCGAGAGATTATTTTAGTAATCTTATATTTGCACAAAGTGCGTCAAAGAGAATATTTTGTTATATTGTTAATTTTGTTACTTGAGGGATAATTCTAACACGGAATTTTATTTATTTAATCATAGGTGATATTGTGATACAAAGGGTATTCACCCTGAAGTACAAAAGGTGCGAACATTTCGTGATCAGTAATCGGTCAAGTGCCAGTGGTTTAAATGTAACGATACAAACATCGTTAATTTTTTTATAAATTGATAAATGTATATAGAAGATAGGAGAAAACATTTAATAACTATTGCGTTTATGAGGAATCAACTGACAGAGATCAATATACAAAGAAGATCGGGAAATTCTTCACGCTATTGATGGATAAATTCGACATTTTAATTATAATAAAAAATAGTATTTAAATGGATCCGAAAAAACAAATTGAATCAGCGAAAGAAACAAATATCTTGCATAAAGTAAACAAGATACATCAGATAGGACATCAATGCAAATCCAGCAATATCCAGCTATCACAGACTTCCTCCGATGTGACCAAGAAATTGAATCTTATGTCACATCCAACAATGAATGTCATGCGACATCCTGTATCACCTGTGGTAATGCCTGATATGCTAAAAGTTCCATCCAACTTGGGCTTCTCAAATGTCCCATGTAAAAAATTAAGAATTGTATCTCGCAACGGTAAAGATTTGGGAGAATTCAACGTGGAAATGCAAAATAAAAATTCATCAAAAGGACAAATATTCACTATCACTAAGTTAAATATTTCCAAATCTGTTTCAAAACCAGTAACACCCACTGTAATTCCAGTATCATTGCAGGCCATGAAAAGAACAATACCGCGTATACTCAGACAAAAGTCTTCAAATGCAACACGAAATAAAATAATGAGATTAATACCTGAATCAAACATGAAGTGTGATAAAAGCAGCGTATCTTCAATAGAACCTGTAACATGCTGTGGAAATGACCATTTAACAGATATCAGTAAGAAAATATCGATTCATGATGATGAGATTAATAGGAAGAATATAGAGAATAGTAACAATAAAATATTAATTCTTGGAAATGAGGTGAATCTGAAATCATCTTTAAATCAAACTGTCATTGATAATAGTCAGAAACATCAGGAAGCAAAACATAAACTTAATAAATTAGCAAGAAATGCTGGATCGGCAAATAATGTAAATACCTCCTTGAATACTGAAGTTGAAATACCAACTACTCTGGTGGGAAACAACACAGTTTCTTCTACTACAGGAAATGTAAGTTATAAAGAAATCGCTGAATCACCATACCCTATTGTAAGTTGTCAGAAGCTTATATTGATCGCTAATAACAATAATTCTACACAAGTAATTAGTAAAATACATAAAAAAAATGATAACTCTTCCATAAAGACTACAAAAATTATAAAATGTAAAGCAGATACTTCTTTGGGTAGTGTATCAAATTCCATGCAAGCCTGCAATTTGGAGAATCAAAGAAGCGATGCTAAAACAGATAACATGAACAATACTGAAAGTAGGGAAGTAAGACTTTTGAGAGTTAGAAATAATTCGTTACTAATCAACTCTGAAAAAATCAAGCAAGTGGAAGAGACAAAAACACAGAGGGATATTATGACAATTGTTCCTAATTGCGATAATCTTTCACTTAACAAGAATGCGTTTTCTACGTGTAGAAAATACCCAAATTGTATCTCAAATTGGGAGAAGTCGAATCGGGAAGAATCTGGATGTATCATTTTACCAGATGATACAGAATCTGTGAACTCGGATCATAACATTTCAAGATCTGGTGAAGTCGTAACGCTGTCAAACGGATGGAACAAAAATTGTTCTAAGGATAACTTGTTTCAAAAAGATACATCAAAATCATGGGATGTTATCAAGAAAGCGGTGAACAGTGTGAGAGATGAGGAGTTGCGTGCACAAGCATTAAAGGCTCTAATGGAATGTAGCATTAGTGTTGAGAGACATGTCCCGAAACATCCTCCAGTGGAATATAAATCTGTGCACGACAAGCAAGTGCAAACCTCAGTATTCAGTCTACTCGATCCTCAATTCTTTGTATTAATTAACAAGGATATAGAAAGTCTTCAACGATTACAACATGTCACTCTTTACGAATCGCCTCATATAGAAGATCCACTTCACGTACAAGACTCACCTCACACGCAAGATCCTCCTCACATACAAGATCCACTTCATATACAAGATTCACCTTGCATACAAGATTCGGTGTTGCAAGACAATTCCGACAATGGCAAACAACTCCCATTATTCAAGAATTCTGTCATGTCTGAAGAAAACGACTTCGATATAGATAGTTATATAAATAAGATTTGCGAGGAAAATTTAGGTGCTCTCCAAGTGAAGGAAACTTTGTCGACGACAAACGTGAAGTATCAAAGGATCATAGAACAATTGCAGAAGGACTTCGAACTTGTCAAGAAGTACGATGAAGAAGGCTTGTTAGGTATACACAACGCCGTTTTAAAGAATAACGTCTTCGACGTTCAGAGACATATTATGGTACTCAAGCAGTGTAAAGAAAGCATCGATGTATTTACCGAGGACGGAGTGGTAGGTTCGAAAAATTACTTTTTTCCTTCTCTTTTATCTCGCATTTAATTCTACTTAGTTCCCACATAATGAGACCGTATTCTTTTACAGACGAGTTTGGAGCTGGCGATAAAATATGACATGCGCGGCGATATCGTGAAGCTCTTGTTGCAATCTGGAGCGCAGCCGGTGATATTGCAACCGTTACGTGAATCGGCGCTGATTATAGCCGCCAAGCAATCGTCGGCGTTACTGCCGATGCTCGTTAATCACGTTCCGAATCCGAAACTACTGAATCAAGTGGACGCGGAAGGTAAAGTCTCTTATACATTACGCGAAGAGCGACGTTTACATCTGTGCATGAAGAGTAGCCGCGCGACGATAGGTCGTCGTCGTACAATAGGATAATTCGAGATCTGTTTCCGCCTCTCGAGGTTTCGCGCCGTTGCACTACTGTTGTCTACACTGTGACGTAGAAGGAGTCACTGCACTGATATCAGCTGGCGCGAACGTCAATCTGAAGGATATGAAGTCAGGACGGACGCCGTTGTTCCATGCCCTGGAAAGCAACAATCGCAGTAACCGTTCGAAGATCGTGCAGAAACTCTTGCATGCCGGAGCTACGACGAGTGTTACGAATTTCGCGGGATACACGCCTCTGCCCGTGATAAACGACGGGAAGAGCGTGCCTTTCATGATGGCGTTGAGAAAAGACTCGGCGCAAGCATCTCCGTCTGCGCAATAATTGCGATTTCAAGTGAGTGTTTGAAAAGAGATTCACTTATGTATTTATGATAACCGAAAGAAAAGTTTATATAAAGTTATATATAATTACATATAATTATAAGTAATTTATATGTGTGAATTTTATTTGTACAACTACATATATATAATTATATACAACTTTCTCAACCTAAAATTATATATATTTTAAGGCTCCTGATTGGTTCCTCGCTGCAGCCTTTTATATATGTGAGTTTTATTTGTACAACTACATATATATAATTATATGTTATATGTGTAATTGTATGTATATATATACATATATATATGTTCACATGGCATAAAAATACTGTTGAATGAAAAACCGAAAAAATAGTTTGATTTAATTAAGCGTACATCATAGATAGCATAAATATAGCATAAGCATTTACTTTAATTATATTTGTATAATAGCATTTTTTTAATATAGACATGTATAATTATATATGAATATATATAAGCACACATATACATACACATAGAGATAAAATTCACATATAGTCAAGTTTTCCCAAGACTGCTGTCAATTGCGATTACCCGGGATATAATCTAAAATTTTTGGGCGTTAGTTAATTTCAGAATTTCAGTTACAAAAGATCTGTTCTTTTTAGCTAAACTAGCTGCACTAGTTCAAGAAATGTACATATACATTTACCCCTGATTTCATCAACTTTGGTTAATCTAACTAATTAATTCAACAGAATTGACCAATCGTATTGTCCAATTAGCTAACTGTTCCATGTGATTAGTCAATTAGATTATCCGAAATTGGTGGAATCGGGAGTTAGTCTGTCTTTTTGTCTGAACTGGTTCAAGAAATTTACGTATATTGAAACATGAAAATCTCATATGTACGCTTCATACGTTTCAACGTGTATGCAAATTTCTTGAATTAGTATAGCCAAATTAGTTAAAAAGAGTAGACCAATTGAAGCGTATCGAACATACATACGAGATTTTCATACTTCAGTTTGTGTAAATTTCTTGAACTAACAGCCAATTAAAAAAAAAATAGGTCAATCGTGTCTCTTGATTTCACGGTAATATTTATTGATAATTAGAATAAAAGGGAAGCTTTCGGAATATTTTACAAACGTGTTCTCAAACGACTGCAGGTGTCATTTTATGAACGTATCCTTTTATTTCACCCATACAGCAGAAATATCCAAAATATATCATAGTTATTTTAAAAATATCGCGATATATTTGGAATATCCGTATAATATATCTTGGACATTTCTGGTATGTGGACAACGTATTCCGCAAGAATTTTGGATATGTTTTCACGCTTCTGATATCATTGAATAAAAGGGTTGCAGCGAAAAACCAATTAGGAGCCTTAAAATATATATAATTTTAAGTTGAGAAAGTTGTATGCAAAGAAACCTATTCGTTTAGGTTTATCAACAAGTACAATGATAATACCCGATGAGAATGTTTCCGAATTTAGGGGAAAGTTACCTAATTCATCATCTATCATCTAAATTGTACTTCATGATTTTTTTTCTGTAATTAGTGAATATAAGCGTGTAGTAGATGTACAAAATAAATGACTCAGATAGAAATGTGATGTGTATCACGTTCCATCACAATGTGATTGTTATACTTTAACTTCAATTTAATATCTTTTTAAAAATCATTACATGATTACCATCGTATGAGCATAAAATGTGTGCATGTTCTTGATTTGATTGTGATTGTGCTATTAAATGAGATATTTTTCTAACATCACAACATGAATGACATCTGAGCAACATATGCGCATGCATTTTTTAAATCATGTTATGTTAAAATATGAACGCGTACTGAATGCTATACGACATCATTTTGCTATCTGAGGAGCAATGAAACATAATCAAAATTTAAACGAATTCCCCCCCCNTAACGTTTTCATTATCGCTATATAGTATGTGTATATATAAAAATATACTTAGAAAACTTTTTAAGTAAAATTGGAGATTCAAAAATATAAATATACATCTCCAATGAAAATTTATAATATATTTGATTTATTTACTTCCATTATTAATCATCAGGAATGATTATAAATAAATTAGTAATATCTTGATTATTTTGATTATAATTAATGTTTAATTGATTAATATATTAATACATGTATACATTTTCATATTTTTATTTATAGGATTTAATTATAAATAATTACATATTCTCTTATCTTTATAATATTAATAAATACACTTTGTCATTTTTCATGTGCAATTTAATTATCAACACTCCTCGTACTCATTATCGGCATTCTTTCTCTCCACATATATTATGTATAGTTACCTTATTTCTTAGTAATTAAATTGCTAATCAATTTTTAATTGAATTAATAATACCCAGACAGCACAAATGTCCAAAATTGAGACATGAAACGTCTCCTAGACTTCTTGAAGTCATACTTAAGATGTCGTGATATAAGATGTCTTTAAGATGTTTTCAAGACGTCTAAAAGACGTTTTATATCCCTATTTTGGACATTGTGCTGTCTGGGTAGCGTTGTGTAAAATTTATGATTATATGTATATATATATTAAGGTTAAGCATTATTATTTGATTTTATTCTGTTGTTAAGATAAGTTTGTACACATACAAATAAAATGTATCCGTATGTAATTAATATAGCTTTACAAAGTATATAATTTATATTATCACCATTATTTACTCTCATACTTAGAAAACATATACGTATATATTCGTACTGAAAATACATTTTATGGTATATTATTTCTTAAATAACTAGAAATCATGTTTTGCACATATATATACACATGTATTTTAAGTATAAAAATATGAAATATACATTCAAATAAAGGTTTCATTTAGCTAAGCGGCGTTCAAAAATTTCACCCGGGTGCATTCATGGACGCTCGCGCCGAAATGATTCGAAACGTATAATTAGTGGCAAAAAGGCTGCAACATTTTTTCTTATGTATTTCGTAAGGCATCTCGTTTGCAATAGAGGGAATGTATCTCTTAAAGCTTGATCTACAGTGTGCATTTTATTTCTTGTTTCTTGCTCTTTATCCTTTTTAAGCCTTAAGCCTTAAAATACCTAATGTGAATCGGCACTAAGTAAATAAAAGTTTTTACAGAAGAAAGATAGCAACATTTTTTTATAAATTTTGGAACGCATCTCGTGTCCAATAAAAAAATTTGTTTCTTAGTAACTCTTATGGCTTCTGCCTACAGAACGCGGCAAGAAGCGACGCGGTAGCCAATCAACGTCCCGTTTTTCCACGAGAACTAAAAATTTATCGGTTTCCGCGTTTAAACGTTAAGCTTGATCTACAATGTACTCTTTGTTTCTTGTTTCTTGCTCTCTATCTCTTTTACTGTAAGTTTATTCTACAATGTGTTCTTTGCGTCTTGTTTCTTGCTCTCTATCTTTTTTCTGTAAAAATTTCTGAAGTCACGAAAGCATATCAAACAGTGATGTTTCTGATTATAGCCCGGGTGTTTCAAAACAGCTGATGTCTAGTGGTGTGCTCATAATTTGGATTCCTGAACGCAGTTCTGTTCTTTCTGCTGAATCCAACCAATGCGATTGGTCAATTCCGGCTATGTTCCAAAATTCACTGGCAGCACTGAAAGTTCATGTTACGTATACGAGGATGGATTGATAAATAACTTGGTTCGCATTGTACCAGGTGTAAACTTGTCAAATTTATTCTCAAGTAGTATGACTCACGACGAATTATACCTGTTTGTATTCAAGCAGTACGACTCAACGACACCATCTTTTCATTTTCAAACAGTATGATTTAACAGCAAACCAAAGATGTCTTTATATCTTCAAGTAACATTAAAGATAAATGAGAAAACCGTAAATACACAATTCAAGCAGCAAGTCAATGCCATGTTGCATTATATCAATGATTGAGTCGACATTGAGGGAGGCGCTACCAGTGGGATACATTTATAAGGTCGACTGTCAGCAACAAGGACCACTATCGTCGTCACCACCACCACCACTACACCACCACCACTTGCACAGTTCTCTATCGTCGTGCCGGCGATGGAGCGTGCGTAATCCTACGGCGATGATGCTGCGTAATGTCGGCTTTTCCCCACGGACCGTTTGCAGCTACCGCACGCGCCTCGCCACCACCAGCCACGGCAGTATTCGCCAGGCACGGCCTCACGGATTATCGGCTACGTCGGCCACGCCGCCGCACTGCCGCATATGATTCATAGGGACCGTGCTCGCAGGACCGAGCTCGCGTTTGTTTCAGGTATGTGCGTGAGCGCGTCTTCACATCGAGAACGCACGTACCGTCCGAAGATTACGGAGGCGAACTCGCACGCGTTGTGATTATTTTGCGCACCTGGCACGGTAAAAGCGAGAATAAAATTAGAACATCCGAGTCGCTGGATGAGTACTGTATAAATGTTGGATCATAGAAAGTTTTGACGGGTACGCTATCAGGCAGCTGGATCTCGCGAGGACTGAGAATGTACACTGAGACTTCCGCAATTATACAATGTATAGATCATGACGAGACACAATATAGATATTGCAAGTGTATTCGGAGGATTGAGGATTGCATGACATATTTTTTGCATCCTGCAAACTTTAAATTTCATGTCAAGTTTGCAAGATATTACGGAACTGATATTACGAATGGCTGTCATAAGCTTAAGAGATACAGTGATTTTACATTATTTTTACAGATGTGTGTATAAAGAACAATAATTATCTTGATTCCAGTTACGTTGACTTGTAACTTTGCAATAAGAAATTTTAATATGAATCATACTGAATGAACAGTCCCCTATAGTTTGAATCGAATATAAGAATAAGTAGCTAAAATATTGTTCAGATGTATTTACTAAAGATTAAGATTAGGTATGAGTAATATATTTAATACTTGAAATATTCAGATGATATTGATGTCTGAAGGAGTAACTCTCTAATTGTTGTAAATAGTTCTCTTGTTTCTTATATGATATATATGACTAACTATTGGAAGGAAACAGTAATAAGTTATAGTTATGTTCCACATTGCTGGAAAGATTTAAAAATTTAATGCACTATCTTTTTCATATTAATGTATTAAACCATTAATACAGATAGTATAAGCTTTGTGTAGATTAACTTATGTAATAAGTCTTCCACAGAGTTGTTATATGAGGATTAATTTATGTAATATCTTGTCTGTAGGGTTAGAAGCCAAATTTTGTACGCTCGAAGATGTTAGAAGTCGGTCTGAGAGTAGTCCGTGGTCCAGATTGGAAGTGGGACGATCAGGATGGTGGCGAAGGCCACGCTGGGACAGTAGTGGAGATCGGAAAGCCCCCATCTACCGGAAACCCAGCTTCCAGTCCGAATCCTGCTGACCGGACACCGGACAAGACGGTAATCGTCCAATGGGACCATGGCTCCAGAAGTAATTACAGAATCGGATATCAAGGTGCTTACGATCTGCTGGTATTTGACAATGCGTCCGCTGGTGTCAAGCACTCCAACATCATCTGTGATGGGTGCAAGAGATACGGGATAACCGGCATTAGATGGAAGTGCTCGCAGTGTTTCGATTACGATCTCTGCACGCAGTGCTACATGGGCGACGTGCATGACTTGACGCATACGTTTAAACGATTTCAAACTGCTAACGCCGTCGGGTTAGTGTTTACAGTTTTTGGCAAAGCTCCATTCTACCGCGAATATTGTTGCTTTGGGATCTTACGATCTTGTTCACGATATTAATTTGACGTAGGGTTCAGTTAACGCCAAGAGAAGGCTACACCAAGGTGCCGTTAAAGGGAATCTTCATAGGAGCAAGGGTCATTCGCGGCCCAGACTGGGAGTGGGGAAATCAGGATGGAGGGCGTGGTATGTATTACACACGTTGTGATTATCGATTTGATAAATGTATAAGGTTGTAATTACTTCGGCAGCATGTGATCAGTCGCAAAAAGGTTGCAATAATGTTTTCTTTTTTCAAGTTTCGTAACGTATCTCGTAGGAATAAATGTATCTCTTAAGAATTATTCAAGGACGAATTCTCCTGTTGCGCACAGGATACATTCTGAAACTTATAAAAAAGTATTGTGATCTTTTTATGATTGACCATACATATAGTAGGGTTGCCACACTTGAAAAATCGGGAGAAGTCATGGAAATTTAAAATGTCAGAGAAAACCCGAAAAAGTCAGCAAGATATAAAAAATCTGAAATTTTGAGTTTTGTTCATAATTCTCTAAATGCTCTCAGCTGCGTTCTTTTTCCAATACTCGTTTATTTTTTGTTGCCTGAATCTGCATTCAGGATTATATTATTAAACTTAAGTTTGTGTTGCTTCTAACAATATAAGCTATTTTTCCTGCAACCCCTGCTTCTACATGTTTAAAATGACATATTGGTAATGGAAAATCCTCCATTGTCGTCTGGAAAACGTGGAAAAGTCAGGAAAGCGCGAGAAATCATTTCCTCCCAGTAAAATCATATGAAAAAAAGGTTCTGTTAATATTACCGTACAAAGCTTTGAGCCTTTATTAGACTTGATATTGAAGATTGAAAATTATAAAACAGGAAAATTATGGGACAGAATTCGACGAATCAATTTATTTCGACTTCGATTCGCTTCGTATTGAATTGAATCTTCCAGTCCTCAATCTCCAATATCTAGTCTGACGAGCACGGATATACGCTCAGCAGCATTTACGTCATTGGCTTGAGCCGATGTAAATGAATTGCGCAATACATTGCTGATTCGGATTTTCCGAATGTTTCAGGGAAAACCGGCAGAGTCATGGACATACGAGGATGGGATAACGAGAGCTGCCGATCCGTTGCCACTGTCACCTGGTCCACCGGCAGCACGAATGTGTACCGATTGGGCTACAAGGGCTGCGTGGACTTGTGCTATGTGGAGGAAGCAAAGTTCGGTACTTACTACAAGGAACATCTTCCATTGCTCGGCCAACCAGTGATGATCATACCGGACAATGGAAACAGCTCGACCTCCAGGAGTAGTACCAACAACGCCACCTCTAGTTCACCCTATCCGACGTTCAACGTCGGTGACAGAGTGAAAGTACTGCTCGAAGTTGAAACCTTAAAGGAGATGCAGGATTCGGGTCACGGCGGATGGAATCCGCGAATGGCCGAGTGCATAGGAAAGGTATCTCGCGAATGTCACTTTCTTTCTCCTCACGTAAAGCACCGGCGGTCGACGTGTTAAAGTTAACTCGAGTTTCATTGCTTTCCTAGCGAGACTCGTCCTTGAAACGTATGACACACACGCGCACACATACAGAAGGAACGAGAGGAGCAAGCCTGAAAACTTTGGTTAACTTTATCGGGACGGAACTAATGCGCTTAATGTCTGTGACTAATATATTTATTAAGTAACGTGACTTTTTAATCGAACATCTAGATTGGCACGGTGCACCGAATTACAGACAAGGGAGATATTCGCGTGCAGTACGAAGGCTGTAATAATAGATGGACCTTTCATCCGGGTGCCCTGACGAAAGTTACCAATAAGGACGCCTTCGTCATCGGCGATATAGTCCGAGTGAAGACTGATCTGACCGCGGTCAAGCATTATCAGCGCGGCCACGGCGAATGGATAGACGTGATGAAAAACGTCAGTTGCCTATCCCCATCCGTCTCATACGTATGCACGAGAGGTGAGATACATGTCACATCGAGTTTATGTTTGTTCCAGGCTCTGGGAAAAACCGGGAAGGTAATGAAAATCTATTCCGACGGCGACTTGCGTGTGGCGTTGGACAGTCACACGTGGACGTTCAATCCGCTCAGTGTCGTCCTTGTTCCTGCCGGGACGAACACGGCCGCTACGCATTACGATGCGAACATAATTAGAGATCGCTCAGGTATGTCTGTCGTCGTTGCAGCGTGAGAATGTGGTACGATGTGAGCCTTTCACAAGTTCGATCAGTCAACGTCCACTTTTTATCCTGGAGTTAATGACAAATTTCTGAAGTTCTTGATAGCGGCCTGTATGATTGACGCTTCATTTTTTGGAATAAGGAAATTAACAAAAATAAAGATTATAATAGTTTTTAGTCGTCAATCTTGATAATTTCACGATATAACTCTATAATATTCTAAGAACTTGTGGGAAAAGCTTATTTATTATTCAGAGTTGGGTAATAACTAATTAAAGGTTAAGTTAAAAGTTAATAATTTTTAACTTGGTTAATTCTAAATAAATTAACTTTTAGCTTCAACTAATTAATTTGAATTTCATTAATATAAAAATTAAAAAAAAAACAAAGTTAACATTTTAATTCATTCATTTTCATAATAGACTATCTTTACTTTATTTAGCATCAATTTAATCTATGATTAAAAAATTAATTATCATAGTGTCTATTGCCTGGAAAAACGAGGAATTCTCAAAGAAGTTGTTTATACATATATGGAAAAATTGGGAAATTTAAAATGGGCATTTATCTGCAAGCCGTATTATCATGTTATTCATAGACAAATATCATGTGATTTGTTTTTTTTTTTAATTTTATTTCATAATATTTTCTCCATTAAAAGCCATTAAAAACCATAAGAAATATAGTTCAGGATTTTTCGACTCGACTTTTAATTAATTTTAATTAATAAGGAGTAACGCTATATAAATCGCAGGTGCGAACTTATTAACATTCTGTATATATACATTTAAAGTTATTTTTAAGTTTTTTAGTAAAAAATTAAATTTTTTAAGTTTCT